GCAGATCCTTGAGCGAGTGCACCACAAAGTCGACGCCCCCGTTGCGCAGTGCATCCTCCAGGTCGCGAGTGAACAGGCTCTTCTCGCCGATCTTGGGCAGGGAAACGTTCAGCACACGATCGCCAAAGGTCGACATAGTGTCTGCAAAATGTAAATAGACAAGTCTCTAAGGTTTACAAGGTTTAAATTATATTATTCTGTTTGCCCTTTTTATCTTGATAAATAGTTTATTTTGATAAGTAGTTAAATATTTGCTATCATAATGCCCGCCATAATCTTTGAAATCTAATTTTTTTTAATTGGTACAAAATAATAGTTAACAGACTAAATGGATATAATATACAATGCTTATTTTCTTTTCAATATTTATCTTTGTAAATATATTACTGCTGCCTTTTAATTTAAACTTAAATTTATTTTCCAAAAATTTGATAACAAATAGTATCTTACATCCACTAAAAAGTCCCGAAACACAGTATCTAAAAAGGAAACCCCTTAAATTGATCATCTGGAAAAGGTGTTCCCATAATTGCAGTCTGTTATGTCATCATCACCTGATAAGGAACCCAGTAGCACCCCAAGTATCTCAACTTTATGACAACAATCAAGCGAGACATGCAAACGGAATATACCTCCCCAACGTCCCCTTCTGCCATTATGGACACGCAACCATAATGTCTTTTCCAAATGTTTTGCTTATCGGTTCGGGAATACAATTTGAATAAATGTCCATATCAAAAGAGGATATTGCGTGCGGGGTGTTGAATAAAGCACTTGCTGAATTTTATTTTAATGGAATAACGATAGGGCGAGTGAACTCCAAGTAATCCAAGTAGATTACGTTTGTTCGTGCTCGCCATGCCAAAACCATAAATCAAACTGACTCATCGTGAGGGCTTCTAAAAATATTTCCAAAAACTGGCCAATCTTATCAGGTTCAAAGGTACTCAACATGCCTGTTTGAATACAATTTCAAAAGATTTCCCTATAATGTCGACAGAAAGCGTATATCTAATCGGAAATATTTACTTAATCGTTGGCAGAACGGTAGTGATCAGATAAACTGGTCAGATACCATATCACCCAAACGAGAAATCCACACGTAATGGCAGCGCGCCTAAGTACAACAACATTTGGCATACATATGGAACTAATATATTAAATTATTTTTTGAGAAACAGTTTAAGGTTCTTACAAAGTTAATTTTTGTTTTAAAGTTAGTAATGTACTTTACACTTTCAATATAAAGCTTTAAATAATTAACAGCTGCATTTATCTGCAATCTATTGTAATTTATATAAATATGTTAAAAGTGTACATTCTCTTCTATTAAGGGATAAATTATCAATAAAAGTAGTACCTCTGCACGATTCACATCTAAGCAAACCCGTTTAGTTAATAATGGAAATATCAGTCATTTCCAGTGCTATTTTATTGCCCTCCACTGTATGTTTGCTGGTATCGGTGTGTGTGAGTGTGATATAACATTTTTCGGCATTCCCTAATCTCAATAGCAACAAAAACTACTATAGGCATTGACATTGAGCAAACTATGCCAAAATGGCACGTGAGCGGGAAACGGATGACGAAAGAGCACAACTGCCGGGAAAATAAAGAAAAGATCGAAACACGACTAAAAATACCGATCATATGCAATCCTATTTAAACGATCGTAACATTTGTTTTGACCACTATCAAAATTTGAGATAAGCCGATGGCTTCCAGCTGGAATTTCCACGAGTCATGCTTCGCTTCCAGTTTCCAAATCTCTTAAGGCAGCATGAGTTGGCTGTTTGCCTTGGCTTGGAAGGGCTTCCAATGTCTCTCTCCGCGGCATGAGTTTCCCATTCCAACTCCAATTCCCCTTTCCAGCCCCAGCCGATATCCCAATATTTGTGTTTACCCCGACTTTCACTTACGGATCTCGAATTTCTGCTTGGGATATAGCTTCTGCAGGCGGCCGATGACATGTTTGGTCTGAATGAGAGCGAGCTGAAAAGAGGGGGGTAATTTAATTGATTAATAAAGTGTCCATTAAATGCTAAATGCAAATGAACCGAGTGAAAAGGAGAGAGAGTGGCTCACTCAACGTGCAAATAAGTCAAGTGATTTGAAATTAAAATGCCAGCAGCACACAGGTGGCCTTCATTTCAAGCACGATCAAAGGTGGCTCAGTGCAATTAACACGAAAATTATTAAAAAGCTTGAGGTTTAAAATCAAGTTTTTGGAATGGAGATCAAGAGAGCGGCAGTCAAATAAAAAGCATCAAACAAAAAATATGTACAGTGGGGACTTCAGTAATGTAAATATTACGAATAGGTACCATAATTATTCGGCCATTAAATACATTTTTTTAAGTTCCTATTTTCCTAGTAAATATCTTAAAGGGCATTGGTAAAAAAAGCATTTAAATACATTTTAGTGGCTTTTTAAATTATTTTCCCCTTCTAATCTGACTGATAACTAAGTTCCACTTTTTGAGTGTGTACTGTATAAGTTTAGACCCTCTCTCTCTCTCTCTCCCCCTTGCAAAAGTGCGTGTTGTTGCTATTGCGAATTGTGTAACAGTAAAGTAACCGAAAAGCAGAGCAAGTACAACAACTACAAGTACGCCGTGCGGAGAGCAACAAGTCTTGCATTTTAGGAGTGGAAGGAGAAGAGAGGGGAGGGGGCGGGAAAGAGAGAGCCAACAAAATGTGATTGAAATTCAAATGCAGCATTCCAATTCGAATTCAAAGCGGATGTATGCACATATATTTTGATTCTTACCTCGCTCTTTCGCGATCCGACGCGTATAACCTTTTCCTGCGCCGACATTATAACAGCCTTAAAGTTTCGTTAATCAGTATTGCACAATAATTGTTTATGCTAGGTTATTTGCTCGTGGTTTCTGTTGTTTTTGGCTGCAAAGTGAAAGTGGGTGCGAGAAGGACAGCTTTCGGGGTCACGTTGGCAGCAACTTAAGACGCGGGTGCGAACGAGAGGGAGCCCAGAGATGAACGATGAATGAAAACGTAAATGCACGCACTATTCAAGACACATTATGAGGTTATTGTCACGTTGGCTTTGTACTAAGCGATGGCTAATCCCAAATCGCTGGATCTTTTGAAATTTTAGCTGCTGGCCGATACTTCGGACCGAGTAGTATGTGAATGACAAAGTGTGACCGCGGGCGGGCCGTTGAAATATACGAGCAAGGCAGATAGGGTTGCCGAGGGCGTGGGGGTTGTTGGGGCTACCGCCAAGTCATCAAAAAATACTATGGCCATTTAAAATTAGTTTCGATTTAAGCGTACTCCAATAGGGAATACTCAGGTTCTATTAATGTATATCGATTATTTTTGATAAACAGTGTAATGGAAAAATACCATTATTTACTTTGTAATGAAAACCTGGCAACTGTGCATTCGATAACTAACACGCGCCCAACCTATCGGTCTCAGCTGTTCGGCAGGAAAAGAAAAACAAAGAAACTACAAACGGATTATAAATGTTTCTGGTGAGAAATTGTCCTTAGTGCAAAAAATACATACTTTTAACCACTTGTTGTACCCATCAGTTCATCAGTCGTCCCACGCGGACGCTGGGCAACCGGATGCAGGCGGTTCGCGAGCGTTTGGGCGCGGATTTAGCCGACCAACTGGACGCTCTGCATCGGAATGTGATGCGAACTGGCCTGGTGTCCACGAAGGAGCTGGAGGAGGCATTCCGCAAGACGCGCGTCAGGGACCACAACCCAAACCGCTTGAATCTGCTCTGGCTGCTGGGCATTGTCTTCTTCATCATGGTGGCCACGCCGGTCTTCTACGAGACTATCTCCTTCCTGCTCGGCGTGCGCTGTTTCCTGCCCAACAACTACCTGGTCTGGGAGGCCACGCGTCCCATCAGTGACTGTGAGTTCTGCAAGGGCGTCCGGGGTCCGCTGATCCTAGCCAATCTCACCATGGAGGAGTTTGCGCCGCACGCTTACTCCTCGCTGCCAATTATCGTAAAGCGGGCGGTGGCCCATTGGCCAGCCCAGAAGGACCTAAGCTTTGCCTACATCAAGGATCTGTACGAGAGTGTCCCTGGAGCCATGGATTCGGACTGCCAGTTCCTTCACTTTAACTCGGATCTCAAGACGCTGAAGGATGTGCTTGCCATGTCTGCGGAGCGTTCGAATCTGAGCCAGGGAGTGCCCTGGTTCGTCGGATGGAGCGTCTGCCAACCGGCTGTCCTGGCGGAGCTGAGGAAGCTGTACCCCCGCCCACATTTTTTGCCTGTCGATGCCGAAATGCCTCACACGGATTTCATTTTGATGGGCTACGAGCAGGGGGCTGTGATGCATGTAGGTCTGCACTGGAAAATGAAACTACCTAAGGCTAATATCTTGATTTTTTAGCTGGACTACATTCCCCGTCTGATGTGGCAGGCCCAACTGAAGGGCAACAAGAGCTGGTTTCTGGCCCCCGCCCCCGAATGTGACCGCCAGTGCCAGCCCTTCTCCTTCTACGTGGAGCCCGGCGATGCTGTCCTGGTGGACACGCGCATCTGGTACCATGCCAATACCATCCCCAAGGGTCAGTTTTCGCTCACTGTTCAGTCGGAGTATGGATGATTGTCCTGTTGAAATCGGAGATTGATAAAAAATGATCGTATAAGTTAAGCTTTATAATCCTAAGGAAATAATTTTTTACCAAATAAGTTATTTTTAGTACTGGTCTGGACTGTATGTTAATTAAGACCGCTTATGTACGATAAAGTAATTTTCTTAGCCATACATATAGTAGAAGTTATTGCATAGTGAAACTATAATACTCAACTTATTATAAGATTTTATTATTTTACGAGCTTCAAAGTAAGAATATAGTGCTCGGGTTTAAGATCCTTACCATTAAAAATGTATTCGCAATACCTAACTTTAAAAATTATGTATTAACTAATTTGTCAGAAAAAGAAGTCCACGATATTTTTAAAACTAATCACTTTTAAAAATCAAACCGCCACCGCTGGTGCTATCGATATCCGATAGCTGCGGCGCAAGTCATTCAAACGAAGTGATCGGAAACGGGGAAGCGTAAACAATAAAATGGAAAATAATGTGGATTTCAGCAGGATTTCGTCCAAGTTGTACCAGAAATACGCACAGCACGTGAGGAACCTGAAGGACGTGTGCGTGTCCAAGACGGTGATGAAGCCGGGCGCCTTCTTCGACAGCCTGCAGCAGATGATGGAGGAGGAGGCGGCGGCTACCACGCCTGCGAAGGATATGGGCTCGGTGGCCGACTATGCGGAGCTGTTCCGGACCCTGGAGGAGTACCCGTCCAACCTGCAGAGGATGCCTAAGAAGCGGGAGCTACAGCGCACCAACTCGATGTTCCTGCGAGGAGCGGGTGCAGCGGAGGACTCGGTGGCCATGGCCATGAACACCTCCAATGTCTCGCTCAGCCTGACGCGTCTGGAGGAGCAGCGCAGTGCCGTGGACGTGTACAATGACTTCAAGGCCTTCCAGCGGAAGCTGGCCAAGATCTACGACGAGGCCGCCGCCCTGGACACCACGGATTCCATATACAAACAGAAGCTGTCGCAGCTCCACGGTTTTGCCCAGCAGCTGGAGAAGCTCATGCCCACCGGCGGGGAATCTCCGCCAGATGCCTTCACATCCGAGGAGCAGGAGACACTATTAGCCATTGCCTCCAACATGGAGCAGCTGAACTACCTGCGCTCCAACAGCCTCCAGCTGCCCAATCCCAACGAGATACTGGCCAATGGAAGTCTGGCCGCCCGCCTAGAGATGTTCGTTGAGGTGCTCACCTATACTCTCCTCCAAATCAGCAGCTACAACATGGCCTTGATTTAAGCTTTAATCGAGCTTCAGTTGGTCAACTACGTGAATCCACAAATATGAATATTTAATAAAAAATCTAATAAAATCGAGATCTGTTTAATACAAATAAGATTTCTGTGGCAATCAGGACAGTATTTAAACCACTTAGGAATCAAGTAGCTAGGTTCAAGCTTTTCTACATATATGTACATACGTGTTTATTTGCTGTTTTCAGGCATAGCATCAACAGCAACAACTATAATCCTAACACAGTATGCTTCCAAATCTAACAATTAAAGATTACAAAGGCAATTATATATAGCTTAAATATACCATAAGAAGCTCCTAGATAAGAAAAAGGGTCCTCCGAGATGATCTATCCCATCTAAGCACATATGGACGAGTTAGGGGGAGTCCTCGCTGGGATCTTGCTCCTCCTGGGAGCTCCTCATCTGGCCGACGGTGTCGTAGAGGGCCACCAGCTTGCGCACGGAGCTGCCCAGGTGCTCCACTCGGTGCCTGTAGGCCAGGCATCCGTCCAGGGCGCTGAAGGCCTCCTCTCGCTGGTCGTTGCTCCGCATCAGGAGCTTAAAGTTCTCCAGGATCTTGGACAGGGCCATCTCGGCCTCCGGGCGAAGGTTATAGACCTTTTGGGACTCCACAGGTGCCACATTCGGACTGAGAGCCTTGCTGTTGGACTCGATGTGGAGCAAAGTGTTGTTCGACCGCTCCATTATCTCGTCGATCTTGGCCAACTGACGGTTCATGGTCTGCCGATTGGTGGCTGCAATATAAAGCAGTAATAAGCCATCTCGGTTACTAGTTTTATTTTATAATTAGTTAATATTTACCCATTCCCGCCAACATTTTTTCCACAGCGTCAGGCATTTCGAATTTGTTTTTTTATTGCCAAAACAGAGTGACCGTTGCTATTCGGTAAAAATACGGTTGCTTCAAAAGAATTTACCAAATAATCGAATTTCTATCGAAATTTAAACTTGAAACAACGGTTAGTTTTTAAATAGTGAAAATAGAATATAGAATATTCCAAAATAACTGATGGATACTCCTTTTTTTAAGTTACTTTGTTCACTAACAGAAAATTCTATCTTATCCTAGAAAAGATAAAACATAAAACAAGTACTTTAGCCTGTATGTACGATTGGTGGCTGCAATATAAAGCAGTAATAAGCCATCTCGGTTACTAGTTTTATTTTATAATTAGTTAATATTTACCCATTCCCGCCAACATTTTTTCCACAGCGTCAGGCATTTCGAATTTGTTTTTTTATTGCCAAAACAGAGTGACCGTTGCTATTCGGTAAAAATACGGTTGCTTCAAAAGAATTTACCAAATAATCGAATTTCTATCGAAATTTAAACTTGAAACAACGGTTAGTTTTTAAATAGTGAAAATAGAATATAGAATATTCCAAAATAACTGATGGATACTCCTTTTTTTAAGTTACTTTGTTCACTAACAGAAAATTCTATCTTATCCTAGAAAAGATAAAACATAAAACAAGTACTTTAGCCTGTATGTACGAAATTTTAACAATCAACTTCCTTTGCCATTTTAAAACTGCCAGAATGTACACCATTTCCAACGCAAAAAGTTAATTTAACGTTTGGTTTATTCAGTTGTTCAAATTGTATTTGACTTGTTTTCTATTTAAATTTAAGTGTAATCCGTTCATTGGTTAGCATTACAATTACAATTTACTCGTACACATCCTCCTTGTCGGCGACGTACTTAATAATGTCGGCAGGTTTAAGCAGCTTCTCGGCATCGGAGTCTGGGATCTCGAACCCGAACTCGTCCTCCATGGCCATGATGACCTCCACGTGGTCCAAGGAGTCCAGTCCCAGGTCGTTGATGAAGTGCGACTCAACGTTGAGCTGTAATTGCGAGCGATTAGCATTTCGGTATTCAATGGCGCAATGAGCTTTGTTCAGTTCTGAGTTCTGAGGCGACCATTGCACTGGCAAAGGCAATGTGTGGCGTTTACCTTGCTGGGATCGATCTTGTCGTAGAGCTTGAGCACAAGCAAGACGCGCTCATTGATCAGCTTCAGCGAGAGCGGCGGTTTCGCCGAGTATCTGCGCACCGATTGCGTTTGCCAGCGACCACTGCACTCCTGGGTTTTTGGTTTTTTGGCCAGCCCGAGAAGAAAGGAACGAAACACAGAAACCGGGTTAGTGGCGCCACGAAGTTGGATAGTTTACCTTGTCGGCGGTGACTTTGTCGTAGGCGGAGACCACCTTCAGCACGCGGAACTTGATGTCCTCGATGGTGCTCTTGGCCGAGTAGCTGCGCACAGCGAACTTCTGCGAATTGTAATGTTTAATGACTTGTGGGGTGAGACTAGTGCTAGTCAGTAAGATGGGGCTTTAATCTTGCCTTTAACAACAAACTGGACTAATATTGAAGCCTAAATCAATCTTACAACTAAAAAACCTGACTGATCTATCTAATTCTGTCCTTCTTTCTTCAAGATAATAGGTACTTGATATTATAAGTTGTTACTAAAGAGGTCTATATATATTAGTCATTATTCCATTGTGTTGGTGGCTTTAAAATAGATTATCTTTCAACTAAAGTTATTATAATATCTTTCAACAGGACAAAAATGTTTCTGTTATTGGAATTCAAAAAGCTGCACTTTCCTAGTTTACTTGTAGCTAGTTTCCACTGTAGTACTATCAACCACACACACACAAATCCAATCACCGGTGTTGACGGTGTGTGCGTGCGATAGAAACAATCATGTTTTATGCAAAACAATGTGATGCAATCAATTTTTGTGGTTCGATTACCACATGGCGAGGTTCTACTGTCGTTTTGGAGCTACAAACACCTGATTGTTACGTTTTGGAACCCGTAAATCGCCGAACCAATGAGGTTAGGTATCTAACTGGGCTGGGGGTGCGCTCCTCCGCAAGGAAGTTTTCCCACCGAACGACCGCTTACTTGGCTCAGCTGGCTGGTCATCGAGGGCACGGCAATCCTGTGCATCATCCTGGAGGCCTGTGACTGGACGAGGGCGCCGGAGGCGATCCTTCGGGGGGCCAAAGTCGCCGCCAGTCGACTGCAGCTGCGCGCGATCTGTGTGAACGACATCTCGGTTCTCCTGCAACGGAAATGTACCCGGATTAATATCGCGTCTTTCTACACGCTGCCCGGAATGCAGGCACGGAAATTGAGCAATATTTACACTGAGTTTTCAAGATTATGTAAAAGTTCTGGAAGTGAAAGACAGCAAGTGAGTGTGGACAGACTTGAGCGACAATCTCTTTGACAAGTATCTTGAAAAATACCAAAAATATTTGGTTACAATTTAAGGTAACTAAGTCCTTTTCAGTATCATAAGGCAATAAAATCTAAGTTAATAATTTAATTTTATTTTACTTCACTTATTTTTCATACTCCTACACTACATTTAATTTTAGAAATTTATATTCGAAAATACCGTTAAATTTTAATCTAAGATCTGGCAGCGCCATTTACATATCGAAACAATATTATCGATTACTTATCATTTTATCAATCGAATAGGCGCTTCATTTAAAATCTCTCAAGCGAAGAGATAAAGAAAAATAGCCACGTTTGCACCTTGAAAATAACACGTGACTAACGGGAATCCAAATGAAAATAATAAGCACCCACCATTCATATACAAACTTTCATATATTTATAGGTATTTTTTATAAACAATATACATTTAGTCGGAACATTATCAATATAAAATCCAAATTACACAACTCGCTGGCGCTGCAGTAACAAAAATACATAGGTACACTATATAAATTACACAATTATAACAAAACAAAAGTCGTTTAAAGCCACTTTTCCGTTGAAAGTCATAGTAAATTCATTATTGCGTTCCAATCTGCAAGAGAAATAATTAAGAAATGAGGTCAGCCCGATAGGGAGTCTTTTCTCTGGGGCAGCTGGAGCTGGAGCCCCATTAACGAATGACGTTACTTACGATAACTAGATGGCCCTTATCACGAACCACACCCGGCTCAGCGCCTGTTTGGATGTCGATGACGCCGCCCTTGCCCTTGACCACATTGTGTTGCACCCTGGAATCGAGTAAATACAAGTGATTAGAGGGAACCACAGAAGATAGTCCCATTCAAGAACTCACGAATCTCTGTCCACAATGGAAACAATAGAGGCAGTTCCAACGGTATCGATGATATAGGTGCTGAACTCGATGAGGTGGGGGATGATCAGGATCAGGTCGCCCTTGTCCTTCTTCAGCTCGAGCGGTATCCGGATGACCATCAGGTCGTCGTTGTGGTTCGTCAGCGTGAAGTCGATCTTCTCCAGCGGCAGGCGGTGTTTCTGCTTATAGGTCTTCCCGTCCAGAACGTAGACGGCCTTGTTGCTCAGCAGGATGAAGCGATCGCGGGACTTGTAGCCATGTCTGTCGAACTTGGTGCAGAAGGACTGGTACTTCAGCTGCTCGCTGCCAAAGGTACTGGCCACAAAGTCGTTGACCCTCTGGATGTGCTCCTTGGGGATGCGATCCTCCTGGAACCAGCTGGACACACTACTGGGATAGTTGTTCTTCTTGTCCTTGAAGACCTTCTCCGCGAGAACCTTCAACTCAAACTGCCTCTTCTGCTGGGCCGTCAGTTTCAGGCGGTAAATCCTGGCCAGATGGAGGCGATGCAGGCGGTGCAGGATGCCAGAGGCCTCCACACAGTGTCCCGGGGCATGGGGCCAGCTCTTGTCCAGCACCTTGGTGGGCAGCTCCTTGGCCAGCCGGAGGAGCCACATTCGCTTGGCATTGGCGATGAACTCCTCGTTGAAGCCATTCGGAGCATCGTTCCTCGTGATAAAGCCCTTGATGAAGGCCCTGATCTTGTCGGCCGCCTCACGGCGCTTCTTGGCCGCCTGCTGGGCCAACTTCCTCCTGCAGTAGCTCTGCAGGATGATCACCTGGGCACGCAGCTTAAGGTACTTCCTCCTCTGCACTAATCCCTTCCAGTGGGCCTGGATGATCGCGGCTATCTGGTGCTTCTTCTCCTGGTAGGCATCCTCCGTATCGAACAGGGTCCTGGGCCAGCGAATGAACAGTTTCGTCTCGCCCACTCGGTACTTCTCCTCGTCCCAGCCCAGATCCTTGACCAGCTGCTGGACTCCCGCCTTCGGGCCACCAGGTCCCTTGTAATTGGGCCACGTGGACTTGCTCAGCGACTTGTAGCGCTCCAGGAAGAGCTCATAGGTGCGACGGTAGGCGAAACCAGCTCGCCTCACCCTCAGGTTCTCCATCAGTCCCAGGTACTTAACCTGGTGGAGGACCAACTCATCGTTGAAGACGGTGGCAGTCTGCAGGTCATTTGGCTTGATGCAGCGGATGTAACTGGGCTCCTTGCACATCAGGATGTCCATGAGGTTGTTCAACGAAGCTCGGAACTGGGTGATGGCCGTCTCGGGACGCTTGAGACTGCGGAGCTCCTTCTCCGGGAAGCAGCTCCTCACAATGCCATTGCCCGCCTTGCTGAGGGTCTCCTTGAGATCCCTGAACAGCAGATCGTTGTTCTTGTCCAGGAAGCCATTGACGCTGTAGGTGACCTCGCCGGCATAGTGGACCAGACGGAACTCATCCCGCAGCATGATCTTCTTGATGTGGGCCGGAGCCTTCTCATGGCAAACGTAGTGGTGGTGCTGCGCCAGTTTCTGGGTGAGCTTCTCCAGGAACGTCTTGTCCGTGGGCTCTCCCGGTCGCAGGCACTCCTCATCTAATATAGAGATGATGCCCTTGTGCTTCTCCTCGATCAGATTGCAGATCACCTTGTTGTCGAAGTACTCCACGGGTATCCATTCGATGCCCTCCCTCCTGTACTCATCCTGCTCCGATTTCAGGGTAAGCTCGATGAACAACTGCTGCAGCTTCTCGTTGCAGAAATTGATGCAGAACTGCTCGAAGCTGTTCTTCTGGAAGATCTCGAACCCGTAGATGTCCAGGATGCCCATCACATTGTTTCTGGCTCCACGCGTCTCCTTCGCCTGGAGCGAGATGTTAAGACGCTGGACCAACCAGGAGAACAAACGATCGTAGACAGCCTTGGCCAGGGCATCCCTGGCATAGATGGCCAGCTCATGGTTGAGTGGCGAAGTGACCACATCCCCACGAGCATCGATGGTGCGGTGGGTCAGGGCGGCCTCCAGTTCGGTGGCATTCACGCCCAGCAACCGAGCGGCGGTGACCACCAGATCCCTGCTGTTCACCTTGGCATTACCCTCCACCTCATTGAAACTGACGTTTCCCAGGTGCAGGATACTCGCCACAATCCCAAAGATCTCGCGCTGCTCCTCCTGGCTGAAGTCGATCACACTCAAAGCCTGCTGCACCTGCTTGAAGCTATCCGCATCGTTGATGCTCGTCACACTGCCATTGAGCTGGGAATTGGAATTCAGGGATTAGGTCGTTGGTTCCAAATATCTTCCAGAGACTAGAGCTCATAAAAAATTTATTTTTTATTTACAAGAATAGATGTTTTATCGAAGATATGTTAGGCAATTACAATCCATGGATAAATAATAAATCAAACGTGAATTCTTCTACCAGAGAACCTGAGACTTACCCCATCTGTCAGGTAGCTATATCTGTCCAGAGCCCGCTCCAGACGCAGTTCCTGCAGAAGACCCTCATCGGCGCCGGCTAGCAGTTGATAGAAGATGTGGAAGTTGCGCTCGCCACCCATTTGGGCCACCACTCGCGACTTCTCCAGCAGATAGTTGAGGATGTTTCCTCCAATGGGAGCTCCCTTGAAGTCGAACTGGATGTCCATGTACTTGCCAAAGCGGGAGGAGTTGTCATTCCTGTTCGTCTTGGCATTTCCGAAAGCTTCCAGGACAGGATTACTCTTCAGCAAACGATCCTTGACACCCTCGACGGTAGTCTGGTTGCCTGAGCAGGCGGCTATGAACTGCAGCACCTTCTTGGAGGCCTCCGTCTTGCCGGAACCACTCTCGCCGGAGATCAGGACACACTGACCACGGTTCTCCTCGATCAGCGATCGGAAGGCATTGTCGGTCACCGCGAAGCTGGAGGGGATTAACGATTAATTAAAGGTTCTCTGGTAAGGTCTTCATCACTTTGGACTCACATGTGTGGGGGCATCTCGTAGAAGTGCTTGTTCCTGTAGGCCTTGACATGGTCAGCCGTATAAATGGGCAGCTGCTTGTAGGGATTCACGGAGACTAGCACCTGGCCAATGTAGGTCTGAAAAAATATGGATTAATATATTATTATGGAACCTTACTTAAATGTAGTATTTTGTACTCACATAAATCAGGTTCTCCTGGAAACGCTTTTTCAGGTTCTCAATGAAGGCACCATCGTCCTGGTAGTTTTCCAGAAGCACAAAGTCCTGCACTCCAGCACGATCCCTTTCGTGCAAACCCGTCTCCATTTTGATTTGAGAAGTATAACTGAAACAATAAAGTAACCAAAATATAAAATTAATGAGATGAAAAGAGGATCAAACAGAAAGGTCAAGGTCAATTTAATTATATTTTCAAAAGCCTAACATGTAATGTTAACTTGATATTGAGAATTGTACTTATTGCCCACAAATCAAAAAATATAGTAAAAGAGAGACCTTAACTTTTCGATTATGATACTGTCTAGGTTTTACATTTTCGTAAAAATAACCTTAATCTTAAAAAAGATTTCTTAAAAATTATAAGAAAAAAAGTAAACTTAAAAAATTCTCTAGAAAACATTTCAGGATATTTTTTAACAACCTTTCAGGTTTTTTAGTATTCTAAGAAAAACCCTCTCTCAAAGCCTTATCTTTCACGTAACTAATCTCATTGTCCACCAGAAAGGGTTGCCATGTTAACCGCCTTGATTAGGACAAACCTCTTGAAACCACTATTGAAAAGTCATAGAAAGCCGAAAACCCACAGATAAGATTTACGTAAAGTTTATAAAGTATATGAGAACAATAATTTATAACTACTCTGCGGAAATGAAAACTTGAACGGGGAAATGACAGTGCGCCATGAATGAAGTTTGTTTTGGCCAAATCCGAATGCCATGACTTCATCAGACATATCCAATAATATTTTATCTGCGTTCCATTGCAATCAAATCTTTGGTATTTATAGAAGAATAGAAATATTGGTGGGCATGTGCAATTCACCTTATCGATGCCATATTTCATGGGGGAAGGAGGTTAGAGTTGGCTTTATTGGATGACTGCTCCAGTTCTACTGATACGCGGCGGGCAAATCCATAAAAGAATTGATTATGCAATGGATTTGGAGGTCTGAATTGCCCGAAATGGAATAAGCCATCTTAAAAAGAAGTCTTCAAAGTTTATTCAAGCTCTCGTTGTTTTATCATTATTTGTTGGGTTAACAAAGGTCACTTTATTTATTTATATATTTTCAAGTTCTGTATTGATTCTTCACTACCTGGCCATGGTTATTCGATTATCCTTATTGTGCTTTGACTAATATTATTCCACAACACTTGGGCTTTCAGAACTAGAACCTCTGGAGGAGATGTCAGATGTCACGCATATTCCGCCCTTTGACGGCTTCGCTGGCAAACTAAACCGATCCGCTGGAAGTTGAGGCGTTTTAACCATCAATACTTCTCTACCCTACATATCAATTGGCCTCGTCTGTATCTCTGTTGTTTTTTTTAGTCGGCACATTTATCAACGATAATATACCCGTAGCCGCGATGAGGAGGAGGAGGCGGAGGGCAATGCCGCCAATCAGTCCCCGATTAGATAGTGCCTTTCGCGAATAAACTCGGGACCCGATTTAGAAAACCATGACAGAAACACAGCAAAGCAAAGAATTCCGGAGTTGGTGTTGTATTAAGGGGTTCCAAGTATCTGAGATCACGATTAGTCTTGGTCGTACATATGCGTCAATCCTGAAGTTCTACCCTCTCATCTCCTTAATGATTCAAAATATTTGGCATGAATCACAGCCGTGAATCAAGAAGTTTAGATAAAACTATTTGTGTTTAGGAATTTTTCTTCAAATAAATTGTGCTACATTTAGTTTAGATATCACTTGTAATAATTTATAATGCATGCAATATTTATTTGTTTTCGCTACGTTTAAAAAACGTTTCGTTTAGGATACGATTCGAAAAACAACTTGCTTAGGAGAAATACAAACAAGCATATCATATTTTAGAAGTAAATTATCAATTTCAGGAAATGAATCAAAAAATGAATAGAAGTAAACGAGATCCTAAGGGTCTCCAATATTATTTTTTGTCCCTATTTAAAACAAACAGATTAGGAAGAGAAAATCTAGCTGATCTGTAATATTGAAGTTCCCAAGTATACAAAAACATTTCACTTTCACTTTTTTCTTATATTCTAAAGCTTACTCTTGATCTTTATCTTCCATTAGACCGCAGATTAAAGACTGAATTTCAATGTACATTAGAAAATATTTATAAATCTGGGTCCAAAATACTTTCACTCGGGATATAAGAAATATAAGCACTCCACAAAAAACCGAAATTAGAACTTAATTGTTCAAAGTTTTCTAGATGACTGGCTAGTGTTTTTGGGTTATTTCTGAGTAAGAATTGCGAACCCCGACTCAGAAAAGCACTCCAGGCGCACATTAGCACTGTGTTATCAGCTATCAGTGCGCTAAATAATAAGTCATTGCCGAATGCAAACATTGTAAGTACACACACTCGTTTTCAATTGATGTCACTATTGTTTATTTCCATTACATTTACTCTGGTCTTGCTCAATTCGGAAAAGGGGTTCCATTCGATGGGGGAAAATATTGGAATGCCTGACTAATTACAAAATGTTTGCCGACGTTCAAGACGGGCAGACTTCCCAGGAATTCTCGAAGAGAACGGCAGACACGTCCCACTTTCAAAGGCCGAGATCACTGCCAGTCGATGTTTGTCACATAATTGTTTAATTGCACGTAGGATGGATTGATGTGGATGGGTAAACTTGGATGAGAACCATATATGACTGCATGACATAATGGGCACTGCCTTTTGCAGTCATTCTGCAGTCATTTTAGCACCTTTAAATCAAATCAACAGACGCCTAAGATTATGCTACGTCTATTTAAGGTATTGATAAGGTTCTTTAACCCAGAGAAACTCGTTATATGGCGTTTATATAGACTGTTTGGGGCAGTTTCGGCACGCATTTGTGATAACACAAAAACATTTAATTATTTGTTGGAACAAACGGTCAGATATCGTTATGATTAGATAAACTTATTAAGGAATATTGATAAAAATATATAAACAGATATATGAATGAGTAATGGGTTGTATCATAAGTATAAGTAAGTTAATTAATAGTATTTATTAAATTGCAAAATAACAATGTAATTTTTGTGATAAGCGTTTCAGATAGATTAAGTTGTATACCTTCTTGAACGACTAACCTTGTAACGATTATATTTGTTTTGAAAGGGTATCAAAAGTCATTGACTTTCGCCCAGTTTTTTATCTTTTTCCTGGGGGAGTCGTTTTTGTTGGCTTGTTCTACGCATTCGTTTATCCCCATTCAGCTTTGTAATTGAGTGGAGAACTGGTTTCTCCGTTCCAGAAATACTCCACCTGTGATGTAACACAGAACTCCGGCTTTTAGTGGTATCAAACAACTCGTAAACATGTCTACGACACACGACCCATAACGGAACCCAATATCATGAGACCCACCCAAACGAAAAAGTTCTTTAATCGCACACGGAAAAAAATGATGTGGGTAAATATTAAAATGTTTTAAAAAAGTTAAAGATCCTTCAAGATTTTAATATACTCTTTTGAACTCTTGAGTTGAACTCCACTGTTTCCTTCAGTGCACTAAGCTTTATGTATACAAATTACGTCATTTATCATAAAGCAATATCGCGGGATATTGAACTCTTCGAGTTAGGATGGGGAAACTGCAGGGCTGGCAGAACGATTAAAGAACTGGAAAACCCACAAAGAAGAAGGGCAAGAAGAGGAAAGATCCCACAAAGCCCCCATGATCGTATGCAAATTAATGAGCGCGGTTATTAGAACGGTTCTTGATTGATCAGTGATCGAGATCGAGAAAGAAAGGCGTCCCAAATTTGGGCCATTGCATGGGCTTATTCTAATGAGAAAACCGAGAGCAAGATGTGAGATTATTCCAGATGCACCGGGTATAAAAAGGCATTGCAGCTGGAGAGGTCAGGTTATTCGGAGAGAGATCATGGATCGAAGAGTGACAGCTATTTCGTTGAGTAAGTATGGATTTTCGGTATCCCGGAAAAAGTCCTTATAAAGGGTGACCCACTCCGTCCCTTCAGTTTTCCTGCCCCTCTTGGGGAGCACGTTCTGTTTCCAGGAGAAGGCTCCGGTGCAGTCGAGCCTGATCTCCGGACAGACCAGGACGGATAAGCAGCAACAGCTGGACGATCCACTGGGCAGTGGACGCGTGCTCGAAGAGCACCTGATGAAGACCATTGGTAAGGGCGGCATGAAGCTGGTGATGGCCTCGGGCGCCCCGTCGACCACACCGAAACCGTCAGTACAACACCATTACTATTATCCACCAGAGGATCAGCACCCGCGGCAGTATGGCTACGGTCCTCTGCTACCATGGTCGCCGGCACCGCCACCTCCCCCGCCACCCATTTACCCGCAGCGTCCTTGGGTGCCACCACCGCCTCCGGGACCAGGACCGCCACCACCGCCTCCGGGACCAGGACCGCCATTTCCTCCTCCTCCAGTCCAGCCGCCCTTCTACAATCCCTTCTACAATGGCTTCAACTACTACGGCGGCTATGGATATGGGGGCTTTGGCTATCCCGGCTTCGGCGGCTTTTCTGGCTATCCCTACTACCCCTTCTTCCGCTCCTCGGCAGGAGTCGGCGAGGTGGATAATCAACTGTCCGTTCCCGAGGGTCTCACGCCCTCCGGCATTCCTGGCGTTTTCCAGGGCAGGGCCACCCTGCTGTCCCAACCGAACTTCCTCGAGGGCAGGAACAACGCCAACATTGTGCCATTATATCACCTGCTCCAAATGGCCAGGGCCTAGAGTAATGTGAACGAATCCCTAAATAAAACTGAATTTATTACGTAATACATATGTGGTTTAAAGAGTTGATAATTTTAAACAGGGAGTTAAACGAAACAAGTGCTGAATAATATTGTATAACCACAAAATTGAAAAACATGATAAGATTTCAGATATATTACATATGATTCTATAACTCAACCCACGAACCTTGTAAATGGATCGGATTTCGACTGTGGTATTTAAAAAGAAATCATTCCACCAAAAAGGTATAATAATAGAAAACCACCTAGGGCAAGTAGAAAGGCAAAAAGGTGTTTGTTCTTAATCAACCCAAGATCAGTAATCATCTATGCCACGAGAATATCTGTGGATACAAAACTTTGCAAGATCATCCACATGAATGGATCATTAGATGTGCAGGGAACTCAACAAAGGCCGCTGACCGAGAGAATCGATGATCGAATTCGTTCGGGCGATCGTCATCGCCATTTCTCGCACTCGCAAAGACTGGAAATTAAGATTCAAACGACCGTACAAAAAATACAAAAATCTGGACCTACTGCCCGTGAGTCACCCGCTTTTGGGGACGAGGTTTCGAGGCCCGGTTCGAGGAGATCTTGCCGGCATTTGTACTTGTGACGCATGCCAAGTGGCTGGGGCTCGGATAACCATATAGCTATGTAACCATTGAGTATTAAACAATCACCGCAGCCCGCTGTTTTTCTTAGCTCATTGCGGCCATAAAAAGCGTCAACAGTTGGGGCTGATCTTGAACGCGATTTACTGCCAATTGCAAAAAATAAAAATCTGCTGAAAGTGCTGCCAAAAAGAGGTTTCGTTTTTTACCTTTTGTTTTGGTTGCTCGAAAACAGACTTTTTGTTCGTACTCACGTTGAATAAGACTTGAGGCTTCCACGAAAAGCCCTTACTTGGCACTTTACCCACTTTATCCAAACTGAACAAATCCGAGGTGCTATGTAATTGTGATCCCAACACGAGCTGACACTCACTCCTCCATCGAAAGAAATGGAATGGAACTGCTGGAACTCGGGGTTCTTGGGGCTCGTCGATCGAAGTTTTTTATGACAAGTGGGGATTTTTGCTATACTCGTATTTTGTACTACATTCGCTTGTGTGGGGCATATGGCCACATGGCGGTTTATCGCTTTATGAGGGTGGATCAAAAGTATACTAAGTATAAACAGATTGGAAATGGAACAGTTTACTCATTACTAAGTCCTTTGCAGTTTTAAATACAGTAACAGTAGTTTTATACATGATCTTAAAATTCTTATATAATTCATTACATTGTATAAGGTAAACACGTCTTCCCTTAAGTTTTAAAAACAATATTAACCAAAAATAATGATATATTTCTCCAAGAACCATTTTAAGTCATGATATGCAAGATCTTAGTAACCTTTCTTCATATAAATTCTCAACAACCATTCATAACTGAAGCCCACCCTCTTCTTTTCCATTGCATATGACATTGTCTGCCCATTCACAAAATAGGGCATACCTATTGTCAGCAAGACCTCATTCAAGTCTTGTGCCAATCTTTCGTGGAAAACGATGTGCTTCGATGGTTATATGGACGTTTATGACAATCGCTTGTGGTTTTTGGTATCTTATCAAATCAGCGCTTTAAAGGGAAATTAACGAATGCAACTGGCCAAAGAACCAGGGGAAAAGGCACCCTATATGTATGATATGTACAATGTACATTGTGTACGATCAATAGTCATATCAGTGAAATTGGTTGAACCCCGGGAAAAGATAACGCCGCCGATTCCGATAAGAGAAAGTTCAAGTTTGTCATCACGTAGCGATTTTAACATTTTTTGAGTGGGTGCGGATCGTTATGTTCCCAAGATTCGGTTATGTTATGTGCCGTGAAGTCAAATCACCACATGACAAGGCTGGGCGATAATAAATATCGCAATTACCCGAACCAAAAGGCGTGCAATTTTATTTCCTTCTTCGGTTCTTCGTTTGTTCTTTTGGCTCTTGTGTTTGCTTGGCTTGTTAGTTGGCTAAAACTTGGCATTACATCATTACCAAAACAATCGGTTTTTTGTGAGTTGCTTTTTTTTATCCCTTGGTTTTCCAACTCGTTTAATTTGGGTGCCAAGTGTGAGGCAATGACATTGAGGGCAATGCTTTGTGCACTCGAAAAAAGGTGTTCTAAAATAAAGAAACCAGCAGCGGATCGAGAAGGGGGGTTCAATAAGATCTTTGCATGGATGTTCCTTTTATATCTTTGAAGAATATTCTTATGTTCCCAAAAATTCATCATATTTATGATCCTATGTTACATTACCATTATATCACATATCATATCGCTTCAATAATATCATTGTTAGTCTTCAAAGCAAAATATATTTTCACTTGGAGGAAAAAAAAATTGTCTTATAGCTATCACCTTTAAATATTATAAATGAGTTTCTAGTATGTAATATAATTTCTAGACCAACTAGTTGCCTAGTTTTTTCCCAGTGCGGAGTTGCCTTTTGTTATTTGTTTGTATTTAAACAGCTGACAGATTTGGCGAAACATTTGGTTTCGTTTTCGATCCATTGCAGTCGGTTATTTTTAAGCGGCTTATGGCCACTGTTTTGAAAACTGGGTCAAATTAATGGAGGGCCGGCATAGTGTGGAAATGAAATTGAAATTTGATACGATTTCAATTGGTCACACATAGGAAGAGGGAAGGAGGCACGTATATCCCCTATATAATAACCACCGCGGAGTACCGATTACTCATAGCTCGCTCACGCACACTCATACGCCCTGTTGACCCGCTTTGTGTGCGTCTTGTCTGTTTGTTCCTGCTATAAAACCTGGGCAAACAAACTTATCCCTGGGGAGTGAGGGAGACGGAGACAGACAGGTGGACCCCAACCCCGGTATATCCTCATGTTCATAGAGGATATGGCTTGGAATTGGAGTAAGGCCCCAGGAAGCGAACGAAGGAGGGAGAGAGACGGCGGAATCGAGGTGCCTAAACGCTCGCTTTATTAGAGGAGCATCACCATAAACCAGATCTCTTCGATTTGCGGTGGCTGGCACACTGAGAGAAACTCATGTACTGTAGCAGATCAATATTATAATTTCTAGAAAATGATCTTAATTTTGGTTATATATTTTAAAAAATAATTTTAAGTCACTCGAACCATTTTGGAAACCTCTTAGAATATAACCCTAGCACGACTTAAGAAAGTTTTTGAGATATTATATAGGGTTTTTAATAAAATAAGCTCTTGAGGTCCTCAAATAACATTTTAAAAGATATTCTGTTTAATTGATTTAAATTTTTTAATATTTCTCCCAGTGCTCTCCTGCTTTTGTTGCTCTTTTTGTGCTGTTGTAGCTTTTGTTGCGTTTGGTGTCCAAGTTCAAATCGTGCAAAGGAAAGAAAGCAGCGGAAGACGCTGCAGATCACGACCACGGGCAAACCGGCAGAACCGCTTTTTTCGAATTTTTTCTTTAGCGTTTTTATTTTTTTTTTGAGTTATAAACTCATGTGCGCGGCATGGAATTGATGGTTTTGGTGTCTTCTCCGGTGCCCCCGACATTTGTTAACTGTCAGGATATGCAAAAGTTGCAATCGTAATTGATTTTATAGGCCATCATGCTTCGTCACAGCGAATTAAGAAGTTAGAGCCATCACATGATGGACAAACGACGGGCACATTTGAAATCGGGGGGCTAAGTACCCATAATTTCACAAACTGTCAACCGAGAAGTCGTTATTTTTTTGTTTTTGCTGCTCTACCTGTTTGAATTTCTTTTTCGATGCGGGTACCGTTAGCTTGACCCGGTAAAGGTGACGTTTTCTATGTTTACAGCGAACTTGTGGTTGTGGATAATTTTGAAAATCGAGGCTAGGGCGTATATATACAGTATCCGAAATCGGTTGGTTTATGTTAATGTTATTGCCAAGCACCGCACGCCCAACGCATGCAAATGAGCAACCGAAAAAGTTCTCGACGGCGAAATGAAGAAATTAACAAGCGGTTTCCGCAAGCGAGCGCACCTTGCCAAAGTTGAATTTGAACTGACTGGAAGGTTTCGTTTTGATTTGCCGCCACATTTCGCGCAGCTGTGCAGCCGACAGTGCTGCCAGATCAGCTCGTTTCCCGCCGGAAGCAGCCCGCCTCGAAGTTATCGTTATCGAGCTTGAATTTGAGCAAGGGCTTCTATCTATCTGTATGAATGTAATTGGCTTGTACAAATTCTTTTAGAATCCCAAAATAGATACAAAATCATCGGTTTGAAATTCAATTTAACTTATATAACTTAAGATTAAAACCTAAAGAATAGAAACTTTACACACAAACAAAACAAGACCGAACTAAACACATTAGTAAGCTTAAGGAATTAGAATTATAATTATCGTCTGCAGACTGATTCACCAAATTTATTTCTCCTCCTTTACTGCCTTCCTTTCCATAACAATGTGATACTGATAACTAGTCTAGGGTTTAAAGCCATAACACAACATTATACTTATTGATTTGATCGCCGATAAATGTGTGTTCCAAGAGTGGTTTGTAGTCTTCTTTCCAGAAATGCGAGTAACGAAAAGCTTTGAAAAAATACCTGTAGTTGAAAGTCAGTGTGTTTTTGAAGCGGACCAGGATCAGACCAGGCTAAAGCCCTGAGTTTGCTGGATGGCCTGCAGTAGTTTGTACTTTAGGCGCTCCTTGGTCTTGTATCGCGGCAGGTCCAGCAGATTGAAGCAGGTGTGAGCCACGGGCAGGAATCGTTCGTCCGGGGTGGGTTGAATGGTAAGCTGAAAAAGTTTTTTTAAATCCTCTGAGCACAGCTGCAAAGGCAATGTAGGAACTCACTTTAAGGGCCTTCATCCCCTGGATGGGTATACGATCGCTGCCAGTCAAATAGAGAAGAAAACTTTTCTTCTCCGCCTCCGACAGATCGTGAATGACCTCCCAGAACCATTTGATCTGTGTCAAAAAACCAAGGGTCAGGGTTTGGTAACAACTCCTTAACAACAAACTCACTGTATCATCGCCCGAAGTGTAGCCCTCGCGGTACTCGCAGTTGTCCTGCAGCGCCTGCCAGTCGTAGTCCTCGTTTCCCACCACCACGGCCATCAGCTCCTCCGGCTGGAATATCTGAATCACCCGACCAGAGCACACCTTCATGAAGCCCTTGTGAAATGCAGTGTAGTGCAGCGCGACGGACTTGTTGAACACAAAGTCCACATACAGATCCACAAACTCCTTCCTACAGTGGTAAGATAATCAACGAGGATGTCAGGAAAGAATCGATTACCACACCCACCTGTTTTCAAGCGTCACGGCTATTTCATCGCCACCGGGCTTGAGGCACTTCGTCTCCGCCTCGCCAAACACGTCGCGTGAAATCTCAAAGGTCAGATCAAAGACCTCCTTGAAGTCCTCTCCCTGGTAGTCGAGCAGCGATTGCATGGAGTTGGCCTCCGGCGGCGAAAGCTGGCGGAGATCGCTGAGATCTACCGGCTTGCCCAATAACTTCTTGTACAGAGCCAGCGGGAATGGCAAGTTGATGATCGTAAAGTTGTAGATGGCCAGGCCGCAGAGCACGCCAATCAGGAAGTACATGTTCTCCGTCTCGAAGGTGAGATCTGCAAACCAAAGCAGACGCGACTCCTCGAACTCCTTGAACATGCCGTACTTGGGATCGAGGAGATCCTTCAGCAGCAGCATGAAGAACTCCTTGCGAACGCCGCCGGCGTCCTCCGCCTCCTCGCCCTGGAACTTGATTTTCAGGGGCTTCTTGAGATCACTCTGCGTGTAGCGCTGCAACTCCCGGAGGGAATCCTGCACCAGGTTCTCTCGCGTCACGTTCAGCACAATGAACTGGGAAATGGGCATGCCGTAGTTAAAGAAATTGAATGCCTGCGGGAGGAAAGAGTATCTATCAGCAACGAAATCTCTCTCCTGGACAAGATTAACGCACATGAGTGGCCGCATTGGCCATGGCAGAGTGCATCTGCAGTGCCTGATCCGCTTGGAGCAGCGCCGTCTTGGCAGACGGATCGAAGAGGAATGAAAAGTTGCAAATGTTGAATTCGCTGGCAGTGTCGGCCATGATCCACTTGACGTACTCCTGCTGCACGTCCGCGTAGTCAGCCAGATCAGGCCAGTAGAAGGTTTGGTAGTTGAGGCGGTCTTCGCGCAGATTGTTAATCACGCAGAGCGTCTGCATCAGCTTCAGGATCACCTCCAACTCGGTGTTGTATGGCAGCAGCTGAAACGTTTCTAGGAAATTAGCATACATTTCATATTGGATTGTAAGCTACCTACCCTCTGACGCCTTTCGGCACTGGGATTGACGGCAGCCAAGCCCATTTTGAAGCTAATTATGTGCACAACCACGTGCAAGAAGTTCTGGACAAGGTGCTCAAAGTACTCGGCCGGCGTTTGGGCCAGCCACTTGATCAGCACCTTGCGCGGATTCTCCGTTAGCTTAAATATGGCATTGGCGAACGGAACCTGCAGTGACTTGTAGTGCTTGGAGTTCACGAACTCATGATAGAGAGGTAGCAGGAGATATAAACGCATGCTCTCCACATCCGCCGGCGAGCCAACCAGCGAACCAACTAGCTCCTTAGTTATATTGTCCCAGATCTAAAGAAATGAAATGATTAAAAGGATGCCTAAAAGGGTATATCAAGTGAAAACCTACCACCTGCTTAATGCTTTCATTCTCCACCACGCGCAGATTGTCAAATGCTAGTTGAGCCGCTTTGAGATCCAATCCATGGTTCCGAGAAGAGCAGCCAAAGTGTCTGTCGTGATCCAAGAGGAAAGAACCATTCAAACACGCCTGACTCTTGAAGATCAGCTCAATGGAGCTCAGAAGATCCATGTCGCTCTGATCACTCTGCTTAAAATGGGCGCATTGCTTTGTGACCTCTGCCGTCAGAGCCAGGATCTGCGATTTGGGTCTGCAATGTACAGAAAGTCAATATGTTTTCGCTCAAATAAAGTTTGCAAGCTATAACTACTTGTAGTTTCTGAAATCCTCTGGCGGCAGCTTGTCCATAAAAAGAGATGTGGTCACAATTGACTGGTCCCCGCCTGAGAAAATCTGATGGATGACCACGGCGACCTTCGCATCGTTGGACTGCAGCAGGGCTGAACCACTAGGCGACACCCAGGGACCGATGACCACCTGTGGCAGCATCAGGCTCTTGGTACTCCTCGTACCCAGCTGCCCGGAGCTTCCTAAGCCAAAGGCATAGACTCTGCCACGCGATGGAACCAGCGCCATGGTGTGCCGATTGCCACAGGCCACCTGAGTGATGGTGCTGCCCATTAGCTCCATTACCATTCGCGGCAGCATCTCGTTCGAGCTGAAGCCATGACCTAACTGGCCATACGCGCCCGCTCCACAGGTGAACACCCCTCCCTCGTTGGTCAGGAAAACGGAAAACTCATCGCCGCAGGCCACAAACCGAACGCCCAAGGTGCGCAGCGTCTTCAGCTGGGTGGGATAGGCGCGATTTGTCTCGTCATTCAGTCCCAGCTGCCCACAGTTGTTTCTGCCCCAGCCGAATACCGCACTGGACTTGGAGATGAGGAACGAGTGATTGCCGCCACAGGCAATCGCGGCCAGCGGAATTCCCAGCAGAGTGGTCAGCTGGACGGGATGGTTGCAGTGCGTCAGCTCGTTGGGCGACTTTACGCCCAGCTGACCGTAGATATTGGAGCCCCAGGAATACAGCTCGCCACCTGGGAAGACAAAAAAATGTATTAGTCATTGCATTCAAAGATACAGCTTGCCACCTGGGGAGTCGAAGAATTGTATTAGTCATTGCTTTCTACGATACTACGGTCTTCCCTTCATAAGTTGCATTATATGGTAGACAACCTACTAAACTTGTGAAAATATTTTATGAAACGTATTATCTTATCTGGTTCTCTTTCGTTGGTTGACTCTATTTGATAATAAGATAGGTTTAAAGTAGCATAACAAGGTTAATTCATAAAGTTTTTTTGGTGGGAGATTGCATTTTGCTAAATAATTTCAGGCTAACATACTTTTTAAAATTCTAATCCGAATACTTTCTTGAGATGCACGGCTCCAAGGTCTTGAATCAAAGGGTATTAAATGTTTATAGCATACTATTAGAAACCAAAAAACAAGCTCACGGAAACATATGTATAGCCTAACGCACAGGTTCCCCTTCACACTTACAACTGGTCAGCGCGAGGCTATGATTGTTGCCGCAGGCGATCTGCACCACCGTCTTGGAGACCAGTTGGCGCACCACCTTGGGCAGCTGGACGATGTCCTGGTCGGTGGCGTGGCCCAGCTGACCGCAGTCGTTGTCGCCCCAGCTCAAAACCTGGCCCCAATCGGAAAGGGCCAGCGAGTGGCGGCTGCCGCAGGCGATCTGGATAACGACATAGTCCTGCAGTTCAGGGATGAGCACTGCAAAGAGTCGGCAGAGGAGTGAGTCCGGGATTTGGCCACCTTGGTTACAGATTTGAGCAGTTTGGTGGTTGAAGTGATGCGTTGATGAGGTGGAGTGAGTGGATAGTGGAGAGACAAGACGATAAATGAAGATTACATACGAAATGGCGACATACGTGGCCTTTTGGTGGGCAGTTCGTGTCCCAGTTGGGAGTGGTCGTTGCTCCCGCAGGCGTAGACCTTTCCACTGGCGGTCAGGAAGAGGGTGTGCCGATGGCCACAGGCCACCTGCAGTACAGCAGAGTCCGGTGACCAGGGGATCTGGCTGGGCGTGAGGATCTGTCGGAAAAGGGGGTGGGTGGGTAACACATAAGTAATCCCAGTGGGCCGGGACCCTAGTTTCATCTTTCCACCTGCTCATCCTCTATCCCGCCGAGTCCCAATTGTCCGTGGGAGGTGCTCCCCCAGCAGTAGAGTTCCCTGCCAGCTGCCATTCCTCGGGATCCTCTTTCCAGCTCTTCGCTTCTATCGGGGTCAATCTAATTTACTTGTGGGTGCTACGAGAATTTTCGAGAAAGTCCCCCAATTGTTGGCCGCATTCTTTTTTGTCCACTTTCTTTCGTTTCTGGATTCTCTGCTCATGCCTCGCCAGCCTTTCGATGTGTGCCTCCTGGATCTGTAGCTGGACCCTGTTGATGTTTAAATTATGGCCAAAACGCTCCCTAACTGGAATTTACGCTTGCATTATTGTTCTAGAAAAATAAAATATAAAAACTCAAAAACCAGCAACAACAAAAAACCAACAAATAATGGCGGCGCTGCCAACTTGTTGCGCAGAGCTCACTTTTCGCAGGTGGGCAGCTCATGCTGGGCAGGGCTGCATCGCTACCGGACTTTCAAAATCCGCATTGGCAATAAATAACAAATACAAAAATATACTTAGATCGGCAAAAAGTTATCCGTAAGTTTGTAGTATGATGAAAAATCGAAAAAGTTGTAGCTGACATGATGGCTATTGATTATAAAGTAATATAAAATATGTCTTCATTTCACGAGTAATTGTAATTTGTTTCGAAATGTATTGGCAGTTAAACTGCAATTTTATAATGTCACCAAAGATCTTCTTGAATCATTAAAGGTCAAAGGCCACAGATGAGGAAGCGGAGAGGCCAAATAGTACGTGGTACATCGGTAATACCGAATTATTTGAGATTTATGATTAGAAATGTATATAATAGTAGTAGATAGAAATAGATTCGCTATGCATTGTTATTTTCTGATCGTCGTGGCACGACCTAGAATAAACATTAATTTGATTAAAATATAAATTACAAAAGGGATATTTTTAATGTTAAATTGGATAAATTGAAGTTGCTCACATCAAACAAACTATTCCATATACCATGTACCACAAAGTTATGGAAAATAAAACCATTTTGATATTACACTAAATAAACAAATTATAATTCTTTAAATAAACTGGTTTATTATTCATTGTAATAAAAGTACATACAAGGAATATATCCGCCAGTCCAGAACATCTGACTCCATGATGGCCTGCAGCCCTGGTTTCCATATCAGCCGTTTTTTTACCAGACCGCCTCCGCTGAACTTCTGACCTTTGGTCATTTCGACTCGAAAGATTGGCTCGCATCTTAGTATTGTTTATCCGAGCCATCAGCCCTGGCGATACCGCGCGAACCCAGAAGATTCGAAAATCGGGAAACGCTGCACCTGCGGCGATTGAACAAAGGAAAAACCGGTTGCCACGGGGATTGGACAACAACGACACATCGCATCGCGTGTGAAAAGAGTTGGATCAGCACAGTTGTCGATTGATTTTCACCTGGCGCAGTTTGCCACGCCAACATGCAGGAGGCCTACGTCAACATCAACTCCATTCCCACCCACATCTTCACCTGGGGCAGGTGGATCGAGGAGACCATTACCGAGAAGGAGATCGTCATCTGCATAACCGGCAATCCGGGTCTGCCTGGTTTCTACACAGAGTTTGCGGGCACTTTGCAAAAGGAGCTGGGCGATCTTCCCGTTTGGGTGATAGGTAAGAGGCCTTGTCTTTCCCCATCATGGCCCCTCTTGTTATTAGCACACTTGTTTCCCCTCCAGGACACGCTGGCCACGATGATCCGCCAGAGGCCAGCATTCGAGAGGTTCCGCAGCTCAGCGGCAACGAGGAGCTCTTCAATCTGGACGGACAAATCCGGCACAAGATCGCCTTCATCGAGAAGTACGTGCCGAGTGATGTCAAAATCCACTTAATTGGCCACTCCATCGGTGCCTGGATGATCCTGCAGCTGCTGGAGAACGAGCGGATACGGAACCGCATACAAAAATGCTACATGCTCTTTCCCACCGTCGAGCGGATGATGGAGTCGCCGAACGGCTGGGTCTTCACCAAGGTGGCCATGCCCCTGTACTCGGTGTTCGGCTACATCTTCTTCAGCTTCTTCACCTTTCTGCCCGTGTGGCTGCGCCTGATGCTGATACAGATCTACTTCCTCATGTTCTCCATTCCACGGCAATTCCTGGGCACCGCCCTGAAGTACTCCAAGCCCTCGGTGGCGGAGAAGGTGGTGTTCCTGGCCGACGACGAGATGGCCCGCGTACGCGGCATCCAAAGAGAGATTGTGGAGCAGAATCTGGACATTCTGAAGTTCTATTACGGCACCACCGATGGCTGGGTACCCGTCTCCTATTACGAGCAGCTCAAAAAGGACTTTCCCAAGGTGGACGCCCAGCTGGACACCAAGAAGATCGCCCACGCCTTCGTCCTGCGGCATTCGCAAGCGATGGTGGGAATTGTGCGGGACATGATCCAGCAGCATCGACGCGGATGAGGTCGATGGTTTCCCTAGCCCAGATTATCAGCCCTGTCCATTTCCCCAATCCGTTTCCAACAGACTTGGAATCCGGATTAGGCTTGAACAACAATACCCATTAGCAATTCCTCCACTGCCTTCATGTGGCAATTAGTTTGTTTTTATTAGTACCTTTCTGAAGCTCTCGAAGGAAACTCTAAATATAGTCAAAAGTGATTTAACCAGCTTGAGTTGTGGTCGTGCGTTATTTTTCCGGAGATCCTGACCTACTGCGAGAACCCGATTTGGAGCGGCTGCCCGAGCGAGAGCGGGATCCCGACTTCGAGCGACCACGGGAGCCCGATCTATCCGATTCCCCGCCAGATTCGATGCGGTTCTTTGCCCTCTTGCGCTTGGTGGCCCCATCACTGTCACTGCCGGATGCAGAGCCACTGCGGCTCCTGCTGCGCTTGCGGCTTGCATCCCGTTCACTGCCGCTTCCAGAACCACTGCCACTACGGCTGCCACTGCGATTGCGGCTCCTGCTGCGCTTACGGCTGGCACCCCGTTCACTGCCGCTTCCAGAACCACTGCCACTACGGCTGCCACTGCGATTGCGGCTCCTGCTGCGCTTGCGACTGGCATCCCGCTCGCTGCCGCTTCCACTGCCACTGGCACTCCTACTGCCACTGCGATTGCGACTCCTGCTTCTGCTTCTACTCCTGCTCTTGCTGCGCTTCCCATCCGATTCGGATTCACTAGTGGAGATCGTCTCCTTGGACAGCACCTTGAGGCGCTGCTTGGCCGAGAGTTTCTCCTTCGGATCCTTAACCGGCTTGGGCTTCTTGCCCTTCTTCTTCCCCGACTTGCCACTAGCCCTCGGCTCCTCCTCGCTGTCGCTCTCGTACTTCTCCGTTTTGCGCCTCCGTCCGCCGCTGCCCTTCTTGCGCTCCGCCTTGCTCTTCTTCTTCGTGGGACGTTCTCCCTCGCGGCGAGGTCCATCGTTGTCGCTATCGGTGCCGGAGATGTAGTCATCCTTGCGCGCCCGCCCGCCTCCCTTCTTGCGCTCCTTTTCCGGTGCTGAATCTGCGATAATTAGCATGTTCTTGGTCTTCTCCACGTACTCCTGCCGCTTGGCCAGCAACTGGTCCCTGGAGGTCTTGGCCTCCTCCTCTCGCCGCTTGCGCTGCTCGGCCACCTTAACCTTGAAGGCCTCGCGCTCCTCCTCCTGCTTTCGGCGCAGAGAGCGCTCCTCCTCGTCGATGCGCCTGGCACGGCCCACATGGTATTGGGCCTGGGAAAGCAGATCCTGGCAGGTGTTGGCCTCGATTCCGGCCACCTCGATGTTGAAGCGGTTCTTGTCACCGTGCACAGACAGATATTGGAAGTATCTGTGGGAGATTAGAGAAGATATTTTAGTGCACTTTGAAACAGGAAATGTGTTTATGACTATGGTTGACTTCCACCATACTTTATATCAGTTGTTAATCTAATCCTACCCGAAATTTTCTCAAATTCATGCTGATTACTTTGCTTTAATCTACGATAGAAAGCTGATAAGGTTTAATGGACTTCCCCTTATTCAAATTTAACAACATCTGGTGGTACCTAATCATAGAGATGACTTAACAAACAATGATTATAGTTCAAACTTACTTTTGAGCCAGCTCTAGTTCGTGAACCGCCTGCAGCACAACTTCAAGCGTGGATTTCTCATCCTTGAGTATGGCCATGGCCAGTCGTGAGAGCACCACGGCTATATTGAAGAGCAGCACAGTGTCCTGGGGAGCGACTCGGCGGGCTTTCAGTAGTACCGCCTTGGCCTCGACCAGCTTGTTGGCTCGCAGATATGCTCTTGCCAGATATTGCATCACTTCGACGTTGTTGTGCTTGTAGAACTTCTTCATGCAGTTCTCGTACATCTGGATGGCGCTGATGTACTGCTTCTGTTCCACATAAACGTGAGCAATGTTCAGCCACACGTCGCAAAAGTCGGCGGTGGCCTCGCGCACCTGGGCGAAGATATCCCGCGCCTCGATCACACATCCCTTATGGGCCAGCACGGCTCCGATTCCATTGGTGGCCCAAATGTTGCGGGGATCGTTGCGGAGAACCTGGAAAGCGGAAAAATTAAAATATATATTATGAGCTTAGTTTAACCAACCCCACCTGCTTGAATATGGCCAGAGCCTTCTCCTGGTGCTTCCTTTCCTTCTCCTTGTCCCTACTCGGCTGATGGAGTGTCTGCAGGGAGAAGTTTCCCAGCGCAATCAACGAGTAGGCATCCGTAGACGTGGCCGGATTCTTGAGGATCGTTTCAAAGTTCTTCTGTCCCAAAGCGAACTGCATCTTGGCCAAATGAAGGTTTCCCAGCAACGATCTCGCGTCCGGATTATCGTTGTTTATGTTCAAGGCATCCTTGAAGAAATCGGAAGCCACGAAAATAAGACCCTTATCCCTGGCCATGCAACCTAACCGAAGGTAGCAGTCAATATAGTTGGGATGCTCCTTGAGGATCTCCTTGTACAGCTTGTCGGCCACATCGTAGCTGCTCATTGCCTCGTTCAGGCGGGCCAGGTTGTACTTCATGGTGACCTGAATGGACTCGTAGTACTTTACATCCTTGTCCATTTCAGAGGTAGCGTGCTTCAGGGCCGACTCCAGTGTGTCCTTGGCCATCTTCAGGTTGCCCAGGCGGTAGTGCAGCGAGGCCACGTTGTTCTGAATCTCAGCGGGAATCTCATACTTGGCTTTGTCCCGCAAAATACTAGAGGCAGTGCCGTAGGCACTTAGCGAGGCCTGCAAATCGTTCTGCTCCAGGATCTGGGCCAGTTCTATCCAGGCTTCAATGTCCTCGGGGAATTGTTCGGTGACCTTCTTGAGGTGAGTCTTGGCCATGTCTCGCTTGGTTTGCGAGTTGGAGTGCGCATACAGCGATCCGAGGATCTTCATGGTCTCGTAGTTACCAGGCTGGATTTTCAGCACCTTCTCGAAGCACTGGGCGGCCTGGAAATAGTTGCAGGCTTAGTGGTTTACAGATTGGCTAAAGGATTTATTGCAACTTACATTTTCGGTGTCCCCCCGATAGATGTACATCTGACCCAGCCCGTAGTGCGGCAGCACAAAGTTCGCTGGCGCAATCTGAGTGGACTGGTAATAGTACTGGAAGGCCTGATCATAGTCGCTCTGGGCGTGGAAGCTCCTGGCCAGCTGGTAACAGCTCTCGGCTCGCATCGCCTCGTTCTCGGTGTTGTGGAAGGCGTGCAGCGCCAGATGGTGGACCTTCTGATAGTCCTTCTTGAAGAAAAAGTGATTGGCCAGGTGATTGAGCACCATGGGATTGGCATTGTCGATGGTGTAGGCCTTGGAGAGCATCTGGACGCCCAGCTTGTTGGACTCCGGCTCTAGTTGATTGAGCTTGAGCACGGCCAGGCCAATCAAAGCGCCCACACACTGCTGATCCAGCTGGAGGGCGCGTTCGAAGGCCAACTTGGCCTTCTCGGGATTGCCCATCTTGAGGAAACAATGGGCCATGCCAATCCTGACGTTCGCCGGGCAATTTGGATTGGTACGCAAGGCCTTCTTGTAGAAGGCCATGGCTCCGCGGTAATCCTTGCGATTGAAGGCTATGCAGGCCTTGCCCAGCAGCGAGGGAATATTCGAGGGGGACTGGTTGAGCACAAAGTTGAACTGGGCATCCGCCTGGTCCATCTTGTCGCCCTCCAGCAGACAGAAGTAGGCTCTGCCCAGCAGATGGCTCTGGTCGTACATGATGATCTTGTCGGCACTGGTGTACAGGTTGGTGGCCTTCATGAAGAGCTCGCGCTTCTTGTCCTTGGACTTCTCGCGGTACGCCTCCTGGACATAGTGGGCAGCGAGCATGTCCAGGGCGCGCATGAGGTCCTTGTCCGAGTCGCGGTAATCTCTGGTGGCGTCATCGCTGCGCGACTCCTCCAACAGCGTGACAAAGTCCTCGGTCTTCTTTTGCTTGTAGTACGCCAGCTGGAAAATATAAAAAAAAGGTGTACATTGTACATACATGGCCATGGCCATGTGGATCATCTTGATTTTTAGTTGGCCTTTCAACTTACCGCCACATTGACCCACACATGCAGGGGCGCCCGCTCCTGCTTCAGAATGCTCAGCACCTCCGGGCAGTCGGGCAGCTGATCCGGGTCTACTTCGATCACCTAAGTTGGGGGAAAATACGATGGTAATAAGGCACCAAAAACTGAGTTTCCATTGCGATCCCCGAACGCAAAGCTTACCTCATCGGTGTCCTGCAAGGGAATCTCTATGCAGTTGGACATGGTTGCGTTCGTGGTGGCCTTGAGCCAACAGCCTGAGCGGGGAAAAACGGTTTACTGGCCCCGAAACTCTTAAAAATTTGCGAAAATCAGCACAAACTAGCAAGAAACTATCTTTTCTCCATTCCGGTACGCTTGCTAGAGGTGGCAGAAGAGTCGATTACTGACAGCGATAATTCACCTGCTATCGGGTTTCGATACCTCTGCTTGCCTGTACCAGAGATGTTGACTCATCCCTTTTCAAGCCAGATGTCTTGCATATGTTATTACTCCTTAACATATTTTCCTAAAGAAGTTGTTGATATTAAATCAATATTCATTTAATCAGAAACATTACCTCAGAAACCTTCATCTGTTGTGAGCTGCATTTACTGTTTAATTCTGTTTAATACATTTAGCTATTCTTGGCTACAACCAATGGCTCGACACTGATCCACTGGAAGGGTTGGCAACTCTGGCAGTTGCAGACAATAGAAATGTATAGATAGAAAATGATGTTGTCAAAACCCCCTGAAAGATAGTGAAATTCGGCTTAGTCTTAAATTTAGATCACGCGGCGGACAAGTGAGATGTGCTAGCCGATAAGATAAGATGCTGGCCCTGGGCAGAACGGCCTCCTTGGGCGCCCTTTCCGCCCGCCCCCTCGCCATATGCCACCTGGCCACGCGAACGAAAACAAAAACAAACGAACACAAACAGGGGCAGCAAACAGATGTTTGTCTCCTGTTACGCAATCCCCACAAATTGGCGCAAAATTCAATGACGCCGTTGGTCAGAGCAGCGCCGGCAGCTGTGGGCACAGGAATAGCAACACATTCACATTCGCAGCAGACGAGCAGACGCCTCCACATCTCGTCAGCGGATAAGTCAAGGTATTCGGCCAGCACAATCATGACCTCCTACCACAAGGAGCTGCTCCTCAAGGACTACGACATAGTGGGCTTCGATCTGGACGGCACCCTGCTGCGTTACAATCTCCGCGAGATGTCTGCGCTGATCTATGGGGTGCTCAAGCAGTTCCTAGTGGAACAAAGGGGCTACGACAAGGAGCTACTGGTTCAACCACTCAATCTGGACTTCCTGCAGAAGGGCCTGTTCCTTGACGGGCCGCGTGGCAATGTCCTGAAGCTGAGCAACGAGGCCCAGATCCTGCGAGCCACCCATGGTACTCGGCTCCTGAGCGACACGGAAATCCAGGCCATCTATGGACAAGATCGGAAATGGGATATCACCACCGCCTTCTACAGAGATCCCCTGTCCACCTGGAACGGCGAGGCGTCCACGCAAATGCGCTCGCTTCTCGATTACTTCGATATGCCCAGTGCCTTGGTCTTCGCCCAGGCAGTAGATCTGGTGGATAGGTCGGAGAGGAAGCCGAAGGCGGGGGAGGAGTACCAGGTGTGGCAGGATGTGCAGGCGGGCCTGATGAACATCTATAGTCGGGAGCACTTTGGCAACGACAAGAGCCTGTATTTCAAAAGCATGCGAGCGGAACCTGAAAGGTTTGTGCTCCAAACGGACGCCAGCGTGATGAAATGGCTGGGGGAGCTGCGGAAATCGGGCAAGAAACTATTCTTGCTCACCGGCTCGAATGTGGACTTTGCTAATTTGACGGCCACCCAAGCGCTGGGCAAGGATTGGCGCAAATACTTTGAGTTCGTGGTGACGTACGCCAAGAAACCGGGTTTCTTTACCCTACAGCGGCCTTTCATGCACGTGGATGTGGAGCAACTAGCGGAGCTGCCGCAGGAGGCGGAGGAAATAAGGGCGGGCGAGGTATACTCCCAGGGCAACTGGCACCAGCTGCACGCTGCCATGGCCAAGATGCTCCAGAAGGAGCCATCCAAAGCCAAGGCACTGTACTTCGGTGACAACATTGTGCAGGATGTTTACACGCCGGTCAAGCACCGCGACTTCGATGCCGTGGCCATAGCGGAGGAGCTGCTCCTGGAGGACGGTAAGTATCCGTATGCCGCCGAGTTGGACTCCCAGCTGTGGGGCTCTTACTTCGCTCTGGACAGCACTCCCACCCTCTGGGCCAGCTTCATCAGCAGCTACGCCCAGTTGTGCGTGCCCTCGGTGGAGCAAGTGGCGCAGACTTCGCCAGACCAGCGGATCATCTGCTCCAATCCGTATGGCTTCAGTCCGCGGCTGCCTAAGGAGCTGGAGACCGTGCAGCTGAAGAGCTGCTGGCGGGGATGAGGGTGGCTGACCTGCTATCTTCCTCCTGCAGACAATAAACGACCTGCGATCCCGGGACGCAGTTAATCCGATAACGCTTCTTTCAGCTGGAACCTCTTCAAAATTCTTACGTACAAACAATTGTATTTGATAATAGCAATAAACAACGCGAACTTCTGAAATATTCAATTAGCACATACAGTGCATGCCATAGCTATAAGGTTTTTCAAAATTCACTAAGATCAATTGTTTTCAAGGATTATTTGAATATACAAAGAGTCCATAACTAATTAAATTGTTAACGCTATACATGATTCATCAATTCTAAGTATATCGACTATTTTATTAAAATCCTTATCTTATTTCGGTTTAAGACTCCCGAGGTCTTATTCCAAAGTCCAAAGCAAGGACCGATAAAAGTACGTGCACAAATATTGGAAATGTAAACTGCAATTGTTAAGACATTAAATATTTTAGTAACCGAAAGTTTTAATATATTTTAGCCCAATTTATAGTATAAGCTAACATTCGATAGCACGATAAGCTACTAATTTTCCAAACATACACGTTTTATAATGATGCCATGCCTTTATTTAAATGCCTTTTCGAGTATATAGTTAAGGATTGACACGTTGTGAAACTGAATCGCTAATTTAATTCACAGTGTACAAAGTATTGCATGTGTACCAGACAAACTAAAAGCAAATAAAACGCGGTTGTGCATCATCATAACAAATGCTTTTTATAAACAATTGATGCAATTCTGGAAAATTTAACAATTGAGTTTTCCAGGAATAGAAAGCAAAGTGTGTTTTGCTTTTCCACATAAGATGAGGTGTTCCAAATCAAGTTCAATTGAAAATTCAACTAAAAATTAGTTTTAATTGAAGAGACTTTGTGACTGAGCGTGTGACATGGGTTGTGCCTATAAGTACGTACGTGGGAATACTACGCGATCGAGAAAATAGAAACTTTACACTTAAGTGGGAGACGGAAATAGGCAATAAATAGCTGGGATGACAATGAGTGTGGGGATTAGAGGACCCGCTCCACGGCCAGGGCGATTCCCATGCCACCACCGATGCAGAGCGATGCAATGCCTCGACTTCCCCCAGTGCGCTCCAGGGCGTAGAGCAGAGTGACCAGGACACGGGCACCTGAAGCGCCAATCGGATGACCCAGGGAAATGGCACCGCCATTGACATTCACCTTACTGGCGTCCAGCTGCAGGTCCTGCAGCACAGCCAGGGATTGGGCGGCGAAGGCTTCGTTGAGCTCGTACAGATCCACTTCCTCGCGCTTCCAGTTGATCTTCGTTAGCTAAGGGACGGGAGATCTCAGTAAATGCAGATTAATTTAATTTCTCCATCAATACCAGGGATTCCACTGCGGTGACTGGCCCCAGACCCATCACCTTGGGCTCAATGCCACTCTGCGTCCAGCCCACAATCTTGGCCAGCGGTTTCAGGCCCTTCTTAGCCACCTCCTCGCCAGACATTAGCAGCACGGCAGCAGCGGAATCGTTGACGCCAGAGGCATTGCCAGCGGTTATGGAGCCGCCCTAAATAAACAGGAGAAAGTGGGTTAGCTATTGTTGTGTTTATCTTTGCGTCTTCGTATGAAACCCACCTCTTTGAAGGCTGCCCGCAGCTTCTGTATGCCCTCAACGGTGCTGCCCGCCTTGATGTACTCATCCTTGCTGAAGATCTGCGTGCCCTTGCGATCCTTGACCTCCACGGGCACAATCTCCTTGTCGAAGTACCCACTTTTCTGGGCCAACTCCGCCCGATTTTGAGACAGCACAGCATAGGCGTCCTGGGCCTCGCGACTAATTTGGTATTTCTCTGCCAGGTTCTCGGCGGTGATGCCCATGTGTATGTTCTCCATGGCGTCGGTGAGGCCGTCGTGGATCATCGAGTCCACCAAGGTGCCGGGGCCCATTTTGACGCCCTGTCGCAGGTGCATGACGTGCGGAGCGAGGGACATGCTCTCCTGGCCACCGGCCACCACGATCTGTGCGTCTCCCGAGCGGATGGCCTGGTAGCCCAGGGCCACAGTTCTGGAAAGGATTGCAAGCGGCATAAGTAGGTGAACATCTCTATGGGACGCGGGCAAACACACTTCAAGCCGGAGCCACAGAGCATATTGATGCCGTAGGCGGGCACCTGGATGGGCAGACCCGCCTTGAGGGACGCCTGTCGAGCGGGATTTTGACCCTGACCGGCGGTTAGTGCCTGACAAAGGAATTTACATAACAAAAAGAATGGTGAAACGAGCGTAAACAAATAGAAATCGCGATCCTACCTGGCCCAAGATCACCTCGCTGACCTGCTGGCCCTCTACGTTAGCCCGCCGGAGCACCTCCTGGATCACCACGCTGCCCAGATCGGAGGCCTTCAGTTTGGAAAGCGTTCCATTAAAGCTACCTGTTGATTTTTAAATTGGACAAACAGAAAGAGAAAGTTTCCCAATTGGAAGTTGCATTTCATGTGTGGATCGGGTGGTTTGGATGGGGCTTTACCTATGGGCGTGCGGGCGGCGGAGACGATGAACACGTCAGACATTCTGGCAAGGCGACGGACAGGTGTTTACGACTTGGCTAATGGGCAGCGAAATAGATTCTAATTTTCGAAAAATTGGCTGGCTAAAGTGTGACCAGGTTGCGCCAGAACACACTCGTGGCCCATTATTTCGGTATATACTGAAATGTATGGTCTCACCAAAAAATGCGGTTGGTGGTGCGGCTAAGTTAGCGAGGACACCCTCCCTCTCGGTATATTTGGTATAACAAGTATTTTTCTTGAAGCCGGACGGTATTATCCGTTAACTATTCCGCGGTCACACTGCAGTACACAGAAAATTTACATTTTTGTTGAGAAAATTAGGGAATTAAACGCACAAAAGGCGAGTTAAAGAGGCCCAAAACGCGCAGCGCGATTATCAATCGCCCCGAGGACCAACAGGCAGTGCAGAAGGAGACCGCGGAGCAGGGACAGCCAGCACAAGGGTCAACGAAAGCAACAGCCCTCCGCCGCCGCCGCCCAAAAAGAGAGGAGAAAAAAACGACTGAGGACTGCCAACCAGCCACAAGAAGAAGCACCCCCGCAATCGGCAATCTCCAGAGCCCAAGGAATCCTACAGCCTAGAGCACCATGCAGGCGATCAAGTGCGTCGTCGTGGGCGACGGAGCCGTGGGAAAGACCTGCCTGCTGATCAGCTACACGACCAATGCCTTTCCCGGCGAGTACATACCCACCGTTTTCGACAACTACTCGGCCAATGTGATGGTGGACGCCAAGCCCATCAATCTGGGCCTCTGGGATACGGCTGGGCAGGAGGATTACGACAGGCTGAGGCCTCTGTCCTATCCCCAGACCGATGTCTTCCTCATCTGCTTCTCGCTGGTGAATCCGGCCTCGTTCGAGAACGTGCGGGCCAAATGGTATCCGGAGGTGCGTCACCACTGCCCCAGCACACCCATCATCCTGGTGGGCACCAAGCTGGACTTGCGCGACGACAAGAACACAATCGAGAAGCTGCGCGACAAGAAGCTGGCGCCCATCACCTATCCGCAGGGACTGGCCATGGCCAAGGAGATCGGGGCGGTAAAGTATCTGGAGTGCTCGGCCCTGACGCAGAAGGGCCTGAAGACCGTCTTCGACGAGGCCATCCGGTCCGTTCTGTGCCCCGTGCTGCAGCCCAAGTCCAAGCGCAAGTGCGCCCTGCTCTAAAAGAGTTGTTAGAGAGCCGGAGTTCCCCGCCAACCCTCGATGGACTCTGTTTAAACGTAATATTATTAACTATAAAAGAGAACATTATGTAACCTAAGCGTTGGCCAGGCTAAATGGCTGATCCGTAGTTTCTTTGTTACAACTTTGCCACTAATTTCCGCTGCTACAAGGGGCACTTGCCTGCCCCCGTTCAAACTCTTGCTTTCGTTTCGTTCCGAGTTCGTTTCGTGTGTTCTGTAATTCATAATCCAATTCTGTTTACCCGTGCATTAATTTCAACTAAAAGTTACAAGCGAGATGTTTCTAGATAAAATGGAGAACTATAAACTCTAACTGTATTTTGTATTATTTAATAACTTTTGTAATTAAAATTAATGTTGTAAAACTGAGGTAAAACCAAAAACAAAAAACATAAAACAAGCGAAAACCTAAAAAAAATGTGAGACGTGGACGAGAATAGCCGCATAAAGAGCATAAAGCATAGATGACGCCTGTTGATCGAAGGTCCTCCAGCCAGGATCGGAATATTGAGTCAGTAAAGTAAACGTTCCATTGCAATTACACTTACATTATTACATACTTGTATTTAGATGTTGTTGGATATCGAAGCGACGTCGCGGGCAGGTAACAACTTTTTAAACTTTTGCTAGATCCAGGAACTATCAATATATATATATACATGTATGTATAAGATGAAAAGTCCTTCGTATACTATGTACTGAAATTAAAGGCATCAAACTGAGCAACTTTGAATACTTTGTATTTTAAAACAACAGATATTCAAGAAAACCAACAGCAACAAAACAAGAACGAAACCAAGATAATTATATAAATGTGTCTATTTCAATGGAAATCAATAAAGCATAAATAAAAGGAACTCGATTTGTTTACTGGAGATATTTTCCAAGCTCGGGTCGGTGGACTTTAAAGTATTTGTTTGGGATGTATACGATCTTTTTTATTCCAGCTTGAAATGATGGCTAAAACTTGATTTATGACCTAAGACTATCGTAGAAATTATGCAAAATTAGGTAGAATTATGAATGGAAAAGAGAGTAGAACTAGTTTCAGCTGGGCATATTCTTGAAGAGTCTGGTTATCTCAACTTGCACTGGGTTCCGCTCTGTTCTTCTCCAAGATCTGAGCAATACGATACGAACAATCTTACATTCTAAAGTTTATGCAGGCTGCAAATCGCTTATCAAACTTTAATTGCCAATGGCTGACATCACGAGAGCCCACTGTACCCAAAAACGGAGACGGACTTATCAGCGCCCGAAAAAGAATTATTTGCTTATCTCGGCGAAAGTCGAGAACCAAAAATAATCTAAATCAGCTTGAAACAAAGTAACCGATTCTCATAGCCCCTCTGATCATGTCTGGTTTTACACAGAAACAATTTGGGATATCTGGAAAAGTGTTAGATAGGAAAAGTTATATTTTTTCATTCTTTTCTTTTTGTACATTTTTTATTTTATTTCATATCTTATTTTTGTAAATAGCAATTAGTTCTTGTTCATAAATTGAGGTGCAACTAATCAGAATAGTTAGTTAGTTAGCATTGGTAGAAAATATCATAATATATTTGCTATTTTTTGTATTAATAAAAGCATTTTATTGAACACATTTAAACTAAATTGAAATGGAAAGTATTAGTTTAAAATTAAGTCTTGCATCCCATCATATTTAAAAAAAATATTTTAGAGAGTACAGGAAAATAATTTTTGAAACATCTGGAATGCACAATAACGACTCTGACTTTTCCCCCAGTGTACTCTCTCCCCTTCAGTTTCTGTGAGTGTGTTATTTGGAATGTTCTCGCAGCTGGAAATAAACCGGGCTACAGCGAAAATCATTTATGTTTATATGTTACACAGGCAAATGCGGCGTATCTGAGATTCGGGGCAAAGAGGAGGGGTCAAGTTGCGGCATGTGTGAGCGGATGGGGCGTTCGTTCCGGTGACGTGGCCATTGATGCTCCGAGCTGACGTGGACGCCTTTCAATTAAACAAATCACCTCAAATCAATTAGCTGTGGTGGTGCCAAATATATGGCCCCTTCATTCGAGTCGGTTTATAATGCACTTTCAATGGTCTTAAGAACTAGTCAAGTTTTACAAGTTATTTGGCATGCGAAGTGGGAGATTCATAGGATCAATCTTAATCTCAGGGATGCTGGGTATTTGGTTAGTGGCCCTAGGACTCTCTAGAACTCGTCGTGGCGGGCCAAAGCCTCGCCGAAATCGGTGGCCTGGGAGCCCACGAAAACGTCGTATTTGTCCAACACTTCCTCCTTGGTCAACTTCTCGTCGTGATCCGCATCGGCCTCGAACAGCAGGTGCTTGGCCTCCGCCTCCGAATGATCAAAGTCGTTGGGCGCAATCCACTGCCTCACCTCCTCCTCGTTCAAGTAGCCATCTTTGTCCAGGTCGCGGTGCTCGGAAAACGACTCCCTCTCGTTGGCCACCCACTCGGGCTCCACGTCCTCGTCGCCCGCCGACCGGTACATGTCACCAATGTACTCGTCCACTGAGATCTTGCCATCGTTGTCCTTGTCCAAGTCGGAGAAGGTCTCCTGCAGCACCACGGCCTTCATGCTGGGGTGCTCCTCGGGATGCAGGAAGGCAGTGAACTCCTCCCTGGTGAGATTGTCGTCCAGATCCTTGTCCGCCGCCGCCCAGCGGTTGCGATCGCGCTTCAGCAGGCTCTTGTAGCTGATTCCTGCGAAGAGAACAAAGGGATGGGAATCAAAATGAGGAATTTACTTGGGAACAAAGTGATACACATGATAGAAGGTTAATCAATCTCAGTTTAAAGTCGTTTCTTATAGTTTAAAACCAGGAAGTATCACGTTTTTTTTGACTGATATGGTAAGATATATTATAGGTACTCACCATTTTCCTCCTGCTCCCTCTCCTCGCTGCTCAAATCGTCCATGAAACCATACACCGTCTTCCTGTAGGAATCCCAGCTGATGGTGTTGTTGTTCTCCGGATTGTGCTGCCTCCATAGGCGACCCACGTCCTCCTCGATGTAGCGCCTCTGGGTGTAGGCGATCCAGTTCTTCAGCTCCGGCAGCGTGACGAGCCCGTCCTTGTCCTCATCGATGCGATCGACAATCAGGCCCAATCTCCGCCTGCTCTCCTCCGGAGTCAGGGTGTCAAACTTCTTGGACTCGTCAGGACCCAGGAAAGCCTCGTGGTCGAACTGGGCGTTGTGCTCGCCCCCGTCGAAGTGCTTGGCGTGCAGGGAGTCGTGCTCGAGGGGATTGTAGGGCGGCACCTCTTCCGGAATGCTGGAGGCACTTGCTCCACTTATCGCCGCCACCGTCGCCGTCAGCGCAACAACAAGTAGCAGCATCTGAGTTCCGGTTCTTGCCATTTTCCGCTGGTGTCCGTTCGGTTCGAATTCCAAACTGAGAATAGTTCGTGGGAGATTGAGATTCAGATTCGAACAAAACAAAAACTCTCGGGTTGCTCTGGCAGTGTTGGAAAACGTAGGGGGACCAGTGATGACAAGGTGGCGGGAGAAAGAATTTCAAATCGTTTCGCTATGTAAATTAACATAATCTACATGATACACAAAATAAAAAATTTTATTGAATAGTTTACTAAATTAATAAAGATAGAATATAAAGAAATTGAGAATATTAAGCCGTAGATATGTATAAATTTCAAAACAATTTCGGCTATTGTCCAAGCCAGCGAACCAATTATAAATATATGAGAGCAATGTGTGTACTTCCTTGGTTTTTGATTGCATTTATTTAAAGTCCTTTCTGTAAAGCTATTTAATTGTACAAATAAATATGTGCAAACTGAAGCGATGGGCTAGCTACAATATATCACTTATCTCTATTTACATTCGTGTAGGTGCTGCCGGGAGGCCTCGGAACTGGGTGCTTTAGGCAATTATTTGGGTGGCTCAGCGCCATCCTGTCCCAGCGAACTGAAGTCTCCCGTGTTGCAGGAGATGCTGGGTATATCGAAATTCGAGAAGCCCCGATAGTTGGCCACCTCAGGCTTCAAAGGGGATGGAAGGAGGACAGCTGTCCCGGGCACTTCGCTGTCTATCAGACTATCCGAGGTGCTGTCCAGCAGACTGGTCTCCGGCAAAGCAGAAGGCGGCTGATTAACTGGCCCTTTTTGTGCCAATGGGTCGAATTCGTCGAGATTCAGCTTGGAATCATCCGCCGTGCTGTTTTCGCCACTCTGATCCGACAAATCAAAGTCGTAATTGATGTTGGTCAGGCCTCCGTGAAACTCGGAGCCCAGCATGAGCACATCGGAGGAGGAGGGCTCCTCCAAAAGGGAAACGGAATCAAAAGCGGTGTAGTTGAAGATTGGAGATGCAAAGAGGTTGTCGGCTGGCTGAATATTCTGCTGCAGCGGCGACAGACGACCCATTGAAACCATACTCGTGTCCTTCAAGGATAATCCAGCGTCTTCGGGGGCTATTGATGGCTTTGCCAGGCCACCAACTGCAGTCAGTGACTGGGAGGTCAATGTACCGCCGCCGCCGCTCAGCACATTCGCCTGATAATGACCGGCCTCGCTTTCGTTAAGGAGGTGAGCCCGGGCCTGGCCAATCAGAAAGGCGGGTGTTTTGATGGGCAGCAGGTTGAGTGGTGCCTTGGCAATCACCGTGTCCACTCGTTCGGTTACCTCTCTTTGAAAATCAATTAGCTCCATTTCAAAAGATGTAATTCTGGAGCTGATAAGCGCGTTTCTCTTCTGCAGCTCCTCCATCCGCTTCATGTTCTCGGATATCAGGTGAAGACTCTCGCAGGCCAACAGGGCGCTTTCCCAGGGCGTACTGTAGGCCTGCTGACCGGACATCAAAGCTTCAAACTCCTCGCTACTGATGCCCAGACTCTCGCCATTCAGATTCTCAATGAAGGCAATGGCCGAGCAGAGATTGGTGAAGTAGTAGCCGCTCTCTCCGCTCATCACCCGCGCAGCATTTGTGAAGCGCGTAACAAAATTTATGTTGCTGTGGAGTCGCACAGGATTGGCCTTAAGCACCACGAATATCAGGGCGGGCAGGAAGTCATCCGCACTCGCAGGTCCACCAGTGGCCCGCTTCAGGAGCTCGAAGATGTGCCTGCAGCAGCGCCAAGTGCACTGCAGTTTCTCCTGCGGCGAGTAATACGAATCGATGCCCACCAACTCGGAGATGGCATTGTACACCAGATCCCTCGCCTCCGAGTTGACCTCATCGATGCTGCAGTCCAGATGCTTGGCTGTAATCCAGCTCAGCTTGCGAATGCGCTTCTGAACCTTCACATCGCTGTCTTCATCGGTTGTGAAATAGGGACTAAAGAGGAATCTGGAAGAAGGGAGAGTTTCCCGGGACTTAGAGATAAGTACTCCACTGATATCTGACTTCTGGATGACTCACTTGTGGTTCTGCGTCATCACCACTTTCTCAAAGAAGTCGATGGCACTGTCGCGATCCTCGTTGGTGGCTATCTCGAAGCTGGGATCGTTGTGCACGGTGTCCGAGACCTTGGTGTAGGCATTTTGCACCAAATCCGATAGTTCGTTGATGTTTTTGCCGCCATTTCCGTTCATATACTTGCGTATTTCGGTGTCTAATCGCTGGATTTCCAGCTTCAGTTTGCGCTTGCCATCGTCGGGTATGCGTAGCTGGCGCAACTGCAGCAGGAACTGATCCTCTGTGGGATCGGGCACATGACCCCGCTGCTGGGTAACTAAGAAGTACAAAATGATAAGCTTTTTGAGGTGGTATGACTATAGAGTACTACTTTTTTGGGCTCCAGCTTGTAGGGTCTTCTGCAGGACAGCGGTAAACTTTTTCTTCTGGAGCGTTCCCGAGAGATCCTCTTTCCTGACCGGCTGCTGCTCCGTTTTCCCATGATTATGTCCATGTTGCGGGGATCTTCGATCCAAGGAAGCACTAGAGGGTCCCGGGCCCGTTTCGCCTTCCTTCTCTGTAAGGTACCACTTCATTACTGACTGCTCTATGGGGCTATGGATATGTACAGTCCGCCTAGGGGACTTACGCTTCAGTCTCCGCTGCTTATCGTGGAACTTCTCGCGGTAGCACTTGGAACACAGGCCATCGTTCTGGGGAGTCCCGTAGAATCCGCAGCCCATCCGGCACTTCAGGTCCTGTTGCCCCAGGCGCAAGGAAGGAGGTCGCGCCGCCGTCGACATCTCGGGTGTTCGGTTATGGAGTGATGTCCTCTTATCTCCGGGAATCCCTTTGTTTCCTGTTGTTTTCGTGGGTAAATTCAATTTACTAAATTGGAGATAAATAATACGCAGCAGACAGCGTTGCCAGATAGTTAGATAGGGGTGGTATATCGAGCAGTAGTTAGAGATGAGCTGGTTCGTCGGCTTTTAGTTACCGCCCATGAAATGGAACCAGTTCGATTCTTTTTGAGGGGATTCCCAATTATAAGAGGGTGGATTCTTTTTAAACGACTCGTGCATTGTGGAAACCGCCTGTAACGCAATGTAGAATTTAATAAAAGGAATATAACAATTTGTAAACATTCATTTTATCTTTACAATAATAACGATTCAATGAGGTTAATGGAAAGTCTAACACACCATATACCCATAACCCCTCATAAAATCAAAATGCCATCGGGTTATATTCCACTAAAATTGAATTTTAGCATATTTTATTGGAAAAGAAAACATTTAAACTGCAACTGAGGGAAATTTGCACAATTTTGATCGAATACAAGTAAAATCGTAGTGCCCTAGGAAACATTTCAACACACATTCAGTTTTTGGTTGCATACAAACATTTTTAAAACCTGTTACACATTTTGTTTTTCGCATTAGCAATTTGATAAAGTAGTTACATTTAGGACGGTTATACACGTAAGAAGAATGCAATTTCTGGTAGGGTCACAAACAGCAAGTAGTTCACAACAGCGATTGGAAAAAGCTCAGAAAACACAGAGTTATATGGCTAAGACTAGACTATGAATTCGCAAAGTTTTGCCCTACCTGCTTTATCGATCTTGTTCCCAATGAAAAATCTAAATCTGCAATTAAACCTCCAACTCGTCCAGCTTTCTCAATCTAATTGACGATCCAATAATGCTCAATAATGCTACCAACAACTCGACTAGTTCAACACTACCTCTATTTTATTTCTAAATCTTCTAAATTTGTTCTCTTCTCTAGCAGTAAAAAGATTTGGAAAAAACCATTTTGTCTCTGTTTGTGTTTTGATTAGTCTTAAAAATTGCTAATACTATTTCGCTACTTTCATCAAAATGCAACCTTGCCTTGCCGCGCCCAACTACTATCGATTACCGATAGATTACGTATACTAACATGATCGTTCTCGTTTTCGTTTTAATTCACTTTCCATTTGCAATTCAACCGTTTCGAAAAAGTCTCGTTTATAGTTTTGAACTGGAATTTAACACTACGTATGATGTCTTTGGCTTCTGTTTTTGCTTTGTATGCGTTCAACTCTTATAGCTAAAAATGTAATTATCGTTAACACGTGTGTTTTCAACAATTATGCTGTCATTTTGGTTATAGGTTTTTGATTAAACATTCTTTTCGTTTTTTTTTTTGATTTTTCCATATGTGAGTGTGAGTGAGTATCAATTCGCTACAAAAGAGTTGCATTTGTAAAAAATTCAAGTCTAACGATTTGCGTTAATAAATTCCTTGTTCCAATCGCAGATCAATTGGAATCAGTTGGCTGATCTGATGTCTCTGGTTCTTATTTTGTCTTCGATTCATGTGTGGGTACCCTGTGTATCTTTAAAGTTATTTTTTGTATTTAATAAAAAGTACAGAGCACGTTGAAAAAGTTAAAGTAAACCGAAAATGTACACATTAATTTTGAATATATACAAGTGAGGGGCACAAAAAACTAGAATGTTGATGAGACTGTATTCTAGTGAAATAGAAATTAATATCAATTGTAAAATTTAAAATAAATATTTTTAAACTATAAACTCTTATTAAGTAGTGACCTGTCTTTATTTAACTATAGAGCTATCAACTAAATAGGTTGTCCACCCTTTAGCCTACTGTACTGTACTTGACTAACTCTCTAGGTTTCTACTAAAGACAGTTTAAAAGTCAGCAGTATTTTTGGTTCCTTAGTGACCTGGTTAACTGAAGTACTTCAGTCCGGCAATCAGCATAAATTTCTCAATAAATAACTCTGAATCCAGGACAGCAATGTGAGCCGCACGACCAATTAAAGTGTTGGCCGTATGGGGCAGGGCATGATGGACGTCGAAACGGGCCAAAGTCAGTTCCGGCCTGGCCAAAATCGGAGCGATTATGTTGTGCACCATTTCCCTGAAAGTAATGACCTCTATGTAGTTATGCACATGAGAAAAAATCTATTGTTATAATCACCTGTAAATAGTACCCAACGAGGAGCTATCCCTCATGGCCGCCTTGCAAAGTTCCAATCGAGCCGAATGGGCTGGAACATAGCGATCCTGGC